TAATTAATCTTTTTATAATTTTTTATTAAATTCTTCCATTTTTTTTTTTTTTTTTGAAAAAAAAGAGATTAAAGTAAAGTATTGAATTAATATTAACCATTTCAAATAATTTTACTGATATAATTCATTTTTGATGTCTTTTATTGCAATATTTTTTCCTCCCATTTCTCTTTTTTAAAATAACATTTTTGAAATAAAATATATTTTTAGACATTTTATTTTACTTTTATTTTTATTTTTTTTTAAAAAAAATACATTAATATGAAAGAGAAAGAGAGAGAGAGAGAGAGAGAAAGAAAATGACAAAAAAAAAAATAATCGATTATTAACATTTGGCATATATTTGAAAGCTATGAACTTTTTCTTCCTTTTTTTTTTTATATAAAGATTTATTACCATCCGTAAAAAAAAAGAAATGAAAAAAGAAAAGAAAAGGAAAAGTATTGCTTATGAATCAAAACTTAGTTTATTTATTTATTTTTTTTTTTTTTCATTTTGTTTACGTAAATGATCATTCATTGAAGGTGTTTAAATTATTTAATTAATGTGATTTAATTTTTTTATTTAATTATTTTTTTTTTGTTGACTTTTCTATCTTAATTATAAATTCAATTGCTCAAGAAAATTTTCTTCTTTTTGATAATTTTTAAAAAAAGAGATTATGTTATTTTGGTTAAAAAAAATTTTTTCTTACAAAATTGAAAATTTAATTTGTTAAAATTAAAGTAAATTAAAGCTCTTTCCTTTTCTCTATCTTACTTATAAATTCAATTGCTCAAATTTTCTTTTCTTTTTTTTTTTTTTTTTTTTTTGATAATTCTTGAAATATAAAAAAAAAAAATTCAATCATTTTCGTTAAAGTTGAAATAAAAAATTTTTTCTTACAAAATCAAGAATTTAATTTGTTAAAATCAAAATTAATTAAAACTTTGCTCTTTTCTTTTCTCTTTCCTTCTCTCTCTCTCTCTCTCTCCATCCCTCTCTATGATACATATAAACATACACATTGTTTTTGTTTGTTATTAATAAATAATTTGATACTATATTTATAAAAAATATTTCAAATATTTTTTTTTTTTTGATATTTCAGCAAATAATTTCAAAAGTTAGAAATATTTTCAAATGCAAAATCAATAGGCTATGAATGAAAAATTAGTTAGCGGAATTAATTATGCATTCTAATCATGCTTCTATCTTAATTTTATCATCAAAATGCAATAGTTTAACATTTAATTTCTAACTTTTTTCAAAAAAAAAAAAAAAAATTTAGTTATTTAATTAAAATTTAATTAAAAAAGAAATTTAATATTAGTACGTTAATGTATTAAAATTATTTCAATATCAATACGAACAATAAATGATTTAAATAAGTTTTAAAAATTTTCAAATATAACAAAATGCTGTCTAAACTTTTTACATTTGTAATATTTAATATTTTAAACAACTAAACTAAATATATTTAAAAATAATAAAATCACATAAATTATAAAAATAATATCAAATCTCTCTCTCTCTCTCTCTCTCTGATAAATAATTCAAAATTTCAAGTAGCATAAATAAAATTACTACGAAAAAAAAAGGTTAGAAAAAAGTGGAAAAAAAAACCAAAAAAATTTTTTATTGTAAAAAAACTTAATTTTTTTTTTTGAAAAAAAAAAATGTTGAATATGAAATTATTATAAAATGAAATTATCATCACTATTTCAAAAATGATTATTTCATCGCTAACAACAAAACATAATAATGTAATGATAATATTCGTCTCATAATAATAGTTTAATAATTAATAATAATAGTAATATTAATAATAATAATAATAAATAAATAATGATAATAATAATGACAATATATTAATAACAACAATAATCAATAGTAATTAGTAATGTTAACAATATTAACAACTAATAATGATGGATAATAATAGTAATAATAATAATAACGATAACAAATAATGATAATAATAATAGCAATATATTAATAATAATAATTATTAATAATTAGTAATGTTAACAATAATAATAATTAATAATGATGGATAATAATAATATTAATAATAATAATTATAATAATAATAATAGTAACATAGTAATTATAATAATAATAATAATAACGATATATTAAAAATAATAATAACAATATATTAATAATAGTAATAATTAATAGCAATTAGTAATGTTAACAATAATAATATTAATTAATAATGATGGATAATAATAATAATAATAACAATAATAATAAATAGTGATAATAATAATAACAATAATAATATATAATAATAATAATAATAATAATAACATAATAATAATAATAATAGCAATAACAATAGTAATAATATTATTATTAATATGATTATCAGAAGAGGAAGAATAACAATAACAATAACAATAAACAACAACAACAAAAACACATTTGTCATGTTTTTCATTTGTTATTAGTCAATAAATTAACAAGGAGATGAGATGGATGAAAAGTGATGATTTATATTAATGTCAGATGTTATATTTTTTGTTTATCACATTGTTTAACCAATATAAAACGATCAATAATTCATTCTGCCAATGGGATATCTCACAAATATTAACTGAATGGAATGCATTTATCATTGTTATTTAATCTTAATGATTGTTATTTAAATGAACAATTAACTTGTTTAATTTGAAATTAAAACAAAAAAAAAAAAAAAAAACAAATAAACAAAAAAAAGAAAAACATAAATATATTGCATAATGAGAGGGAAATTAAATGATTTAGAAAGAAAAAATAAAAATGAATGAGCATTTTTTCATTTTTCTATTTTATATTTTGATTTCATTTCATTTCATTTCATTTCCTTTCTATCCATTTCTATTTCCATTTCATTTCATTATTTATTTTATTTCTATTTCATTTTCTTATTGCACCTATTGTTATTATATCAATTTCATCTGTTAGCAGCTATCTCTCATCAATAGCTAATCCTTGCTAAGCTTAGTTGTAAAAATTTTTTCATAAATAAATTAGCGAATATATGTGAGTTGTTGAATAAATAAATAAAATTATGTTTATGAGGTATTAGTGAAATCAAATATTGATTGAATGAAATTGAATGAAATTAAATAAAATTAAATTTAAGTTTTTTTTTTTTTTCCTTCTCCTTTTTTGCTTGATAAATTAATTTATGCGACAGCATTAGATGAAATGAAAACATATCAAATTAAATGGTTAAAAAATTTTCCTTGAAGTAAATAAATAAATAAATAAAAATATATATCACGTGAATTGTGTCTTAATTTAAAAAAAAATTATTGAATTTATTAAGTGTTTATTTTCTTTTTTTTTAGTTTAATATAATAATTTATATACAATTAGATAGATAAAAAAAACATTATTTTGACAACAAAAAATAAAATTGAATTTTGTTCAAAATACCAATTTGAAAAATTTAATTATGCATAAAAATAAGTTTTTTTTATTCTGTTCATTGAAAATTTTGAAATGATAAAAATGTATGACAAATTATTTTAGAAATCTATAGCACATCACTTCCTCTTATCATTTATTTTAAAATATCCTTTAATTAAAAATGATTATTTTATCATTACATTTGTTAGTAATAATAACATTCTATGAAACTTGCCTCTAAATTTGAAATTTCAGGTTTAACTTTTTTAAAGTCTTTTTTTTTTAATTTGAAATTTTCTGATTAAAAATACTAAAATTATTTGGAAAAGATGACAATTATGACAGTGAAATTCACTTTTTATGCGATTTTTTTTTTTCAAATGAAAATTGCCATAATTTAATTAATATTTGTTAGCTCAAAAATTATGAAAAAAAAATTTATTTGAAAAAAGAAAAGATATATTAGAAATAAACAAATAGGCAAAAGAAAAAAAACAGTTATAATAACCGTAATATATCGATGTTGAGAAACAATTATAAGTCAAACGATTTTTTAAAATAAAAATACTTAAATTCTAAAAGTTTATAGGATATGCTAATTTACGTGTCCACGTGTAGTGTTGACGAGAAATACCCAAACGACGTACAATATCATATTTCCAAAAAATAGAAAAAAAAAAAAAAAAAAAAAAAAGATCCTTAAAATTTATTTTGGAAAAACATTCAGTTAAATTTGTTTTTTAAAGTTTTCACTATTTAGTTTATTTTAAAATTATCATTTTTCAAAAATTTTTTAAGAGTTCTTTTATTCTAAAATTGTCATTTTTTTTCACTAAATCACCATAAAATTTCAACAATATAGCTTGCTTATAGTTACTGATTAATTAGATAAAGCTTTTTAAGCTTACTTTTTCTAAATTATCAAATACAATTTAAAGCACAGAATGAAATCATCGCATTTCAAAACTACTATTTCTAATTACTCTTCTTTTCTTCCACTTTCTAAACATAGTTTCATTCTATCATTTCATCTTTCTTATTGCTAAACTATTCCACTGAATATTTAATTCAATATCATTTAAAAAAAGCGATCAAATCAATCAAATGTGTAGAATATACGACCTTTCTCCTTTTTTTTTTTTTTTTTTATTGATCACATTCTTTTCCTCTTTTTCTCATTTATCAAATTGCAGATAATTGCATCAATGAATGAACTGAACATTTCTTACATTTGAAATTATTTCCTTCTTTATTACACTACAATATTTTTTTTTTAAAAATTCACTTAAATATTTGATAAAATTTAGCTCAATAAAAAACAAAATTCCTTTATTATTCCTGAAAAAAAAAAAAAAAGATAACTCGTAATCATTAAATTCGTAAAAAAAAAAGTAAGTTGTATAAAAGATAAAAGAGTAACATTCGTGAAATAAGCAAAAAACGAAAAAGAAAGAAGGAAAAAACAAATGAATTAAGATTAATATTTACATTTTATTAAATGAATAAAAAAAAAATCTCTTAAAATTACCAAAAAAGAAAAAAAAAATAATAAAAGAGATCCTGAAATTGATTTGAGAACAGGAGATAATAAATATCACAATGTTGATTTGAACCAGAAATTATTCATCACACATTAATTCTTCACTGTTACTTACTAAACCTGAAAATTAAAAGTAAAATTACTAATTTAATTATGACAAATCGTTAGTAATCAGAATGAAAGTCTATTTCTCGTCAAATTATCTCGTAACCATGCTATAATATTTACTTTTTTTTTTTTTTTAATTAGTCTCATTATAGCTAACTAATCAATAACATATGTTTATTAGTGATAATAAAATGATTAGATAGAGATGTGCTATGCAAAATAAATTTAACAAACCGAGAAGATGCACAATACTCTGTACAGTCCAATCTTTATCTTGATTTTTAGAATACTTGTAATGAATTTGTTCCTCAATGGAACCATAAACTACAAAATGATGTACCATCATTGTCTTTTTTTGACCAATTCGATCAATTCGACCTATTGCCTAGAAATTATTTTAAAGTTCATACATTTAATATGTAATAAATCACATTACTATTTGAAAATATTTGTTGATAAATAACTGATTAAATGATACATTAATCAAAAATTATAAACTCATCCCACTTTCATTTGTTTTTCTTTTTTTCCATTCTTTCAAAATTTTAAAATAAAATTCAACCAACATACTTGGGCAATTTGAGAAATATCCATTTGTGGTTCCAAAAATATTATATTATTAGCAGCAGTAAGATTTAAACCACGTGCGCCCGAACTCATCGGCATAACAAGCAGCTATAAAAACAAAATCCTCAGATTGACTGGAAAAAAAAAAATGCTGAAAAATGAAGGAATTTAATAAATAAATTATTAATAAGTTGCTTCCAATTTTTTTAGCTAAAAAAGTAACAATGATGAAAACTTCATGCAATAGTAACAACCAAATGCTTAATAAAACATTGGATAGTAAGTATAAGAAACTAAAGAAAAAGAGAGAAAAAGTAAACAACTTACTTCAATTTCAGGTTTCAATCGAAAATCAGCGAGAATTTTTTGTCGATTTACTCCCAAGAAATTTCGAAAAATTATGTTATTTTCAGATAACACCGAACAAAGTGGATTGATAAGCATTGAAAGAGATGTAAACAGTAAGGTTTTTGATGTTGGATCACGTAAGCGAATTGATTTAATACGTCGTATTATAGCATCAATCTAAAAATTTAAGTACTATCAGTAGCATTTTAAATTTAATCAGTAAACTATTCAATATTTATAGCTCTTAACTTATTTAATCAAATAGCATTTCAAAAATTCAAATTATCACTTAAAATATATATATGATACATTTCAATCTAATTTATGGATAAACTATTTATTAATCTTACAATTCGGGTATATAAAAATAAATATTAACCTTAACAGAAACACTTCTTTTCAATTGTACATTTGGTTCATCTAACAAATGAGCGCTTTTTTCAAATGCCTTATTTTGCACATATGAAATTTGACTTATGTAAGTTGTTGCTCGACATACGACACATGCCAGTAATCCATCATTCCTGAGAATCGTTCCATTTCTGAAGAAGTGAACAGTTTTCGAATAAACAACATTAATAATTAGTTGTTTTTTTTTCAATGCATAGCATCACATTAATATATGATGATGATAATATGATAATTTAACACATAAATTTGTATAACTTATCATATATGTATTCAATAAAATATTAAAAATGCTATCAACTTTTTAATAATAATGAAAAATTCAATATATTAACAATTCATATTATTATTAACAATTCGTATTATTATTATAGAATTAAAAATGCTATCACCTTAAATGAGTAAACCTTTTAAAAATTATTGAATTATTGAGGAAGAAGAAACATTTTTTTTTTTTTTTTTTTAAATTTTATAACAATAAAAAATATATTTGTACAGATTAACAATTCGCATTATCATTATAGAATTAAAGATGCTATCTTCTTAAATAGGTGAATCTTTTAAAAATTATTAAATTATTGAGGAAGAAATTTAAGGAAAAAAAAAACAAAAAAAACACACGCACACACAAAATCTAATTACCTATAAAATAAAGTATAAAATATATATATATATATATATATATATATAAAGTATAAAAATTTAGTATAAATTTTCAAAACATAAAAAAGTAAGAGAAAAATAAAGTATAAAAATTTTCAAAAGAGAAAAAATAAGAAAATCATATAGTAATAAAAATAAAAGACCTAGATAATTTGAAATAAAAAATAAATTACCGTCTAGTAAGTCGATTAAAACATGTCACACATAAACAATGAGCACAAGGATAAACAATCCATGTATCTCTTACAGTTGTTAAACATATTGGACAATCATGCGTTTGTTGAGAACGCAAATTTGATAAATAACGTAATTTTGCTAAACAACGTGATTGCTTCAATTTTTCCAATTCTATTGCATTCAAATCGGTTTGACGCTAAAAATTATTATTATTATTATTAACTTTTTAATTTTTTAATATGAAAATAAGAAAGGAAAGAAAACGAAGAAGAGAGAGAGAGAGAGAGAGGAAAAAAAAAAAAAAAAAGATATAACAAAATTCGTATAGTAATTTGTAAAAAATTATTACTATTGCAAATTATATCAATTATCTTCTATTGTTAATAATAAAAAATGAAATATATATATATTTTAATTATTCAAATAAAAAGAAAAAAAAAAACCTTATCATCTTCTGTCCCTTTAATAATTAAATTAATAGGCAAACGTGTGCCATATTTTGCTATTTCATCCATTGTTGCATATTGTAGGCGAAGTTTACACTGACGAATCTCATCACTGAAACAAGTATAAATGTAAGCGAAAACTTTTCTGAATTCTTAAATTTATTTTATCTAGTTGAAATAATAGTTAAGATATTTATCATATCCTTTTTCATCATTCTTTCTCACTTTATTTCACCTGCTTCCCGCATTAATTATACCCATTTTATTACTACTAAAAGATTATTTGATTAATTATTAATTACTTAATTTACCACTTGTATTTTCAATACAAATTTTTGCAAAATTTTCAGAAAAAAAAAAGCATTTGACTAATTATTAATAAATTCATCCTCATTAGTATAATAGAAAGAACTGTTTAGTTAATATTTATACGCTTGAATGCTTAGAATCGTAGTTCCGGAATCCAGTAAACACTCCAATATACGAATTAACATTAATATTCTGATCATCATATCCGAAACCGATAAAAAAAAATGCAGAACCATATCTAATATACTCAAATCATCATCAGTATACTGTCCAAAAATCTTCCTAATTTCGCTAATGAATTCTTTATATCTAATTTTCATTCCTTAAAGCTTAAAGATTCAAAATTAAAATCCAGAAAAATCATGAAATAATTTAGTATTAGTAAAAAAGAAAACATTTTAGCAGCGTATTCATTGGCTGAAGCATAGAGGCGCTTTGAGAGCGCCAACAAAATTTTGAATTCCTCCAATTGCGCAATTGTTTCTTTGCCCAGTGCAATCTGATTACATTGCACACCTTTTTGCATTCGGATAAGTGTTCCCAAGAATGTTCGAATAATTATTTCAAGACTTGAAATTTTCTGCTCTCCAGCTGTACCTGCTTCATCACTATCTTGATCTTTGCTGCAATGTTAATTCTTTCAAATCATTGTCACATTAAAAACTTTTCCATCCATTATAATTCAAATCAAAAATTTCTCTCAGAAAAGAAGTTTTAATTTGAAACGTTGTTCACTGTAATGAACTTTGAAACTATTTCCAAGACTTCCTACCTTACATTTTATCTTTGAAATGATCAAACAATCTAATTGTCATGGAAAATAAGCGTGCTAGAAAAATAAAACAAAACAAAACGAAATAAAACTTAAATCTATACGAGTATAAAATATTTCGAAGTTATGAAAAAAAAAAGTTAAAAAATAAAAAAAAGAATAAAAAAACTTACGAAGTTTTTGAACCTCTCATGAAGAGAAGGGATTCCAATTGACTGATTTGCTTATTACAAATACATAGTAAACAACTGAAAAACATTGATATGACTAGCATAAAATTAATTTCACAAATAATAATAATAGAACAGCGTAATTTAAAATGATTCATTAAAGAAAAAAAAAAAAAAAAAATCAGCAAGAGTTAGCATTATATTCCAATGCAGAACTATTCCAAATCATTCTGAAACACTATCATCTTGGTCGATATCATTCCTATATCTCAATAATGATAAAACGAAAAAAAAAAAATACAATTAAAATATCTTTTTAATATCCAAAAATAAAATGAAAGTTTCTTTATTATTTGTTATAAATATAATCAAATCTCAAATATGTAAATTATCATTTTTTCATTGAAAACTTATTGAAAATATTTCAGATATTTTTTCTTTTTCAACAGCAATAATATAATAGAAATTAATAAATAAAAAAAAAAAAAAAACTAATAGATACAAATATATAAATTAATCTGCTAATAAATACAAATATTTACTTCTTTAATGATTTGCCATCATTAGATGAAAAATGACATGCAATAATCGTTTCTAAGATGAAATTCCATTTCTTCTCCATAATATTATTCATCGCAATTTTTTTTGTTTCCGAAAATACCTTCTGGGCGCAGTCAATTAGTTCATCCCATCGTTTTACCACATAAAAATTTAAACCCAATAAATTTGATACACTGTAAAAAAAAAATTTTTTTTTGCTTAAATCTTATAAAAAGAGCAAAAATATATTAATTAAATTTGCAGATGCTAAAACAATTAAGCAGAATTTAAATTGAAACAAAATAAGCCGTACGGAACATTTGGCAGCCCACTGTTCGTGATCGCTGTTCGAATAGCATCAATGAAAAGATGCTGCTGTCCAACATTATTCACTAAATTGATTGCTTCACATAACCATCCAATACTTGATTTTGCCTTAATTAAATTATCTGAGTTACTAAAAGTAGTAATATTAAAAGTAGTAATACACATAACCATCCGATACTTGATTTTGTATTAATTAAATTAAATTACTAAAAGTAGTAAAAGAATTGTAGAGTAAAAAAAAATCACAGAAAATAGTGTGAATAATAAATATTCAACAGCTAACACAATTCACCAAACATGGTGATATAATCTTTTTGGTGATATAATCACAACCCAACCCGAAATTTGAATTGTTTAGAATGAATAATGAAGCAGGAAAAAAAAGATTATAATTATTACTGGTGCTATACGATCTCTTCTATTGCCTACCTAATATTCCAAATAGGTTTATGGATTTCCATAGATTAGATTCTAAACAGTTTATATATATACTCTATATCCTTTAATTATTAAGTTATCGAACAATGATAACAGCTTTTGCTAATTTGAAAAAAAAAAAAAAAAAAAAAAAAGGAAATTACTTGTGATAGAATAGCCTTGTATTTTGGGAAAGATTCGTTAGCAGTAACATAAGTTTGCATCAAATTTGATACCGTTTGTTCAGTATAACCCGTTAAAGCCAAATTCAACTATAAAGCACGGAATGATGAAAAGAAATATTAAACATCTTGTTCACTACTTTTGATCTCCAGCATAAAACTCATCAAATATAACACATTTAAACCATAAACAAACCTGAGCTTCAGCTTCTTCTGCACTAACATCTCGTACCTCAATGCCATCTTTTTGCAAATCCAATATAGCAGAAAATATATGAATTTGTTGTAACCTATCCGATCTCAACAGTCTATAAAATTTGTTACCAACAATTAAAGAGTGACAAATAACAAAGATCGAAGAGTGACTAAAATATAATAACCTATAAGCGCATCTTGATCCTTTCAATCCAAGTTTGTTATTCATTTGATCAAGTTCCTTCATTGCATTGATCGCACTACTATAATATTTCGCAGCATTAGCCTCGTTTCCACAAAGCCATTCTAATCCAGCCAAACCTTTAAAAATTTACTAAAATGAAACTGTAAATGCATATAAAACATGTGAATCCAGAAAATATAGAAAAAGTCAAACTTCAAGAATATCAAATTTTTAACAAATATGAAATTGAAAATACTTACCACAATAATGCATTAATATATTTCGCTGATGAACTTCAACTTGCTGTGTTGAGATTCGAAACAATTCCTCTTGCAAACTATCTTCCGTACTAACATTTGCTTTTGACTGTAATAAACCATAAATCGTTAGGAAAAATAACTTCTACAAGAATATAACTTTTGTTTTTTTTTTTTTTTTTTTTACTAATTAAAACGGAAGATATCGAAAATTTTATTAAACTAACTTCCTGGAAACGAAGACTAGGGAAAACGATAAATTTCCGAATCATTTGCAAAGGTTCCAATAATTTCTCAAAATCTTTCCCATGAAGTGATGAAATTGGTGTATTCAAATTATGCAAATAAGGCATGTAACGAACTGAAATTCAGTAAACCTCCTCAACTTGAAGTAGTATGAATTTCCTAATATTTTTGCCTATAAAAATAAATAAATCTGCTGATAATTCCATTGATAGAGAATAGCGATTGAATTTAATTATGATCAGCAATAAAGGAGATAGAAAATCGAATGATGACTGTTTAATGAAATTTGAAAAATTAAATGCAGTTTTCTAAAAATTTCTAGTCAAAAAAGGAGAAATAATCAAACCTTTTAAGCGACAATTCGATAAAGTTGCACGATAAAACTGCTCCTCAACAGGTGTAAATCGCAAAACGGTTAAATTACTACTTATCGACGGTGAAAGCATCTAAAAAATATATATATAAAAGATTAAAAACCTAAATATAACTGTTACTTTTTTAATTCAAATTATATGAACACATTTTCAATTTCTATAATAAACAACAAAATAGAAAAATTTCATTTCAGTACCTGATCATAAACAAATTTTTTCGTATTTCTCCACATTATTTTAGAAAATAAATCGCAAATTGGTTTTTCATCACCACACTGATACGGTAGCATTAATGCATTACGCCACCAACATTCATTCCAAAATGGTTTTATTCGTAAAAATCGCACAAGACCATATAAATCTATAAGAGATCTTTTTAATTATCATTTAATATTAACTTTAGAAAAAAAAAAAAAAAAAACCTAGAATTTTTAATTGAAGATATAAAAAAAAAAGCTAGCCATAATAAAGCATGCCTTGCAATGAATTTGTGACCGGTGTACCCGTAATGCACCAACGATTTACTGCTTTAAGACCATCACACATTAATACTACTGAACTTGATGTACTTTCTACCATTTGCGCCTCATCAATACAAACCTGAATATTATTGAAATAATTAGTTGCCTAAATTGTTGAAATCATATATAATGCAATTGATAATCTTATTTTTTTGTAAAACAAACAAAATAATAATAAATGAATTGCAAATATTGTAAATGATTGATATGAAATAGTTGAAAGATATAAAGAAAAACTTCAGAAAAAAACTAAAAATAGCACTTCATATAATTATGACATAAAACATAAAATATAAGCTATAACTTACACGCCACCATTCTATAGCTAATAATGGAGTAGGAGCGATCCGATGTCGTTTGCCATATCGTAAAGAATCTGAAAATAATTAATATTCGAAAATACTCATATCGAAGGATAATTATGAAAATGAAATCCGAAGTCTACAGAACTATACTATTCGGGCCAAGTGTAATTAAATATGTTAAATGTTTAACTAATTTAAAAGCTATTCGATTACAAAATATGATTCTAAATTCCTATAGTATAACTAATGATGCTAATAAAATCAAAGGCAGTTATCAGTTTTATGTTGTATAAGATCGACAAAGGAATTATTATCACTTCTCTGAATTTGCAAATCTCTAAATTATCCTTCCGCAAAATTTATTTTTCATATCATTCATAAAAACTAAATAAATATTTAAGAAAGTCAATCCTTTTTTCTTTTTTAAAAAAAAAAAAACACTTTCAAAAAAGTCTATTCGTGAGAGGAAAACTGAGAGGAAAAAAGACAAACAATAACTAACCCAGTCTTGGCCTAGCTTCTACAAAATATACTTCTTGTCGGAGTGTTTCAAAAGAGCAGATAACAACATCCTGAGTTGCCAGATATTCTGGATGCTTATAACCGTCATTAACTAGTCCTCGATACATCTAAAACATTAATGGTTTATAAAAATTAACAAAATGCAAAATTTCAATGAAAGCAAGCTAACATGAATAAATCAAGACTATTCGCTATTTTTTCAGTTTATAAGACAGAATAAATTCCAAATTAAATTTCTCTATTCTTTAATCATTCATTTTTACTTTCATACTTCCAGAATCATTTAACAATAAACTAATTTTATGTACAAAAATGGATAAAAAAAAAAAAAAAAAAAGAATTCAGCTAAAACATACATCAATTTTAATATCGTCACGAATATGTCGTTTCAACTCTTCATACCACTGATGACAAATTGTTGATGGTGCAATAATAAGCGTACCTTTCACTGGATATAATTTATCCTATAACGATCAACAACAAAAATTTTTTCCTCTTCCAAATAAAAACCATAAAATCGATTTCCCAGAAAAAAAAGGATTGAATCTCGAGCATTTTACTATATTCAACTTTTTGTTAATACAAAAATTATGAAGCTCTTCATAATGTAAGCCACATTAGATTTATTCTTTTTTTTTCTTTTTTTTGGAATACTTAAAACAAAACATAGCTAAACTGTTACATACCTTATCATGAATACATTCCGGACATAAGAAAGGAATATCATGTGAAGGAAATCGATCCCAGTAAACTCGTTCCTGAGAACAAGTCGTGGAACATGTCGTACAAACTACAGTCAGCGGTTTCAATATGCTATTTTTACCTTTCGATTTTTTTGGACTCATTAATTCCAAATTATCATAACAGAACATTCGACGATATCTCGAATTTATCTGTCAAATAACTGAGCGTAATAATTTTAAAAGTTATAATTGATATTCATATTAGAATTAGCTCTATTTTTATTTTCATTCAGTTTTATTTTAGCTATTTAAATAATTGTTAAAAAAAAAAAGAAAAAACCATTTTTTCTTTTTTTGAACTTAAGAAAATCATAATTTAGTCGATAATTAATCACAGTTATATTTCTCTTCAGACAATTAAAAAAAAAAAAAGAAAAACAAAATTCAACAAGCATGTAAATATTAAAAATGAAATATATATCATTCATCTAATATTTAGTATAATCATTTTGTTCAAAATATTTCAAATAACTTACTTTATCTTGTAATGCCAAATATCCATCGGTAGCAGCCACAACTGTAGAGATAAGCTCACCAACAACTATTTTCACATCATCAATTTCTTTAGCCACATCATCAACAATCGGTGGAAGTCCTTTATCTCGTTGATGACTTAATATTAGACCAATAACTTCGATAGTCTTTCCAAGTCCCATTTCATCAGCCAATATACCACATAAAATAGTACTATGATGATCATATTACGAAAAAAAAAATTAGAAAATTAAATTATTTATACAATCACATATATAATGAGAAAGAAATATATTACATAAAATACTAACTATAAAATTATTTGACAATACTAATGAAATATGCTAATAAATAAACAAATTACAACTTCATCACTTTTTTATCACGTATATCAAAATTATTTTTACATGATTTCTGCTGTGCACCATAATTTTAAAGCATAAATCCTTTGAACGAACATTAAGCAGAATAAATTTTACTATTTGATACTTATAGTCATTGAAATTTAAGAAATGTGACATAGTTAGCTTAAATGTAAATAATATAAGAGCTAAAACTAAAAACTCAAACATACACTGCATTAGAATTAAGACAATTGCTGTAAAAGTTCAGCTGATATTTTGCAAAAATCGCTTTGATCCTATTTTTGAAATAAATATCCAAAGATACCTGGTGGGCATTTGCCAAATGATGGAGTATCGAGTTGTCGTGATAAAGAACCAGTAACTGGTGAATACAGAATTGGTGGTGTAGTTGGCAGTTCAACAAAATCATACTTAACCGTAAAATTGATCTGTTGACTAGGATCTTCACGTGAGATCATAAAGCGTATTGCATCTTTCTAAATGAGATTAAATAATTTTAATAGACCATTCAAATATGCACAGTAGAAAACTAATACAAGCTATAATTTCGCTATTTATGATTTAAAGAAATTACTCCTTTATAAGACCATAATTGATAAAATAATTTGCTAAATTTCATGCTAAAAAAGAATGGAGAAATCTTTTGAATAAGAAAAATATATATATATATATATTGAAGAAGTAGAATGAACTTGATAAGGTCGTAGAACTGCAACAATACTTTCAGTAGAAATCCTCCAATTTCTCACAGGTTCATGTCTGATACTTTCGAAGAATCCATCAATATTCTCTTTTTCTTTTAATATAAGTCTTGCCGAAGAAATAGGAGATGGTACCTGAAGGTTTTTTTTTTTTTTTTTTCCTAATCTTTCTTTACATTATAAAGTCAAAAACTACTGCATGCACAACCAGAATTTCAGCAATGTTAATTCTGCTCCACTACTCCTCCAGCTCTCCAGCGATAGCACAAAGAATATAATAAAGCTTTAGTCTTCTAATACATTTGACGAAATCAACATTCTGTCTACCACCTATTAAGAAAAGTTCGAAAAGTTAATAAAAATCTTATGAATTCATTCAAAAAATGAAGAAATTGAAAGAAAGTTTACCAAATGAGGAAAGAACATCGCAATAATCGCTTTCACATCAGATGAATCATTCACATTATAAACATTATTTTCGTAAGCAACCGCATTATTTTTTAAAAAAAGACTGAATTTCAAAGCACCTTGATCACTAATTGTTGCAACTATCTCAAATGTTCGTGTCCATCTGAAAACATAACCAATTCCTTAGAAAATTTTCAACATTAAATTTTATTTCGTTTAATCCTTTAAAAAAATATGACTGATTTATGTGAGATGTTGTAGTTCCAAAGCCTAAGCCCCAAACCAACTCATATCTTTCTCCTATTTTCGCTACAGTCATTAATATAGTTCTCTGTTTTCTTGTCACAAATTTCACGATAACTTTTCATTTCAGTAATCACATGATTAAAAATTTGAAATTGCATGAAGCACTGATCACACAATTCATATAAAACTTTTGCGCATTAATTAATGTAAAATAAGTCTCAAATCTCATATAAGATAAACAAACTGCATTAAAAACTACTGTTGAAGACGGAAATCTTGAAGCTAATGGAAACTTACTTCAAATTTGACAATTCGTAAAAAAGCCAATTTTCCTCCTTATTTAGTTTACCAGTAGTGTATTGCCAAGAAAGTAAATTAGCAACCCAAAGCCTCATTCGTTTTTCTTTGGGAGTAAGCCATCTGCCAAACTGTAATGAATACATTCAAAAAAGACAAACAAAAAACATTGAAAGAAAAAGTATTTGAACATAATCGAACATTCTAATATGTAAAAACTTTGTCTTTCTATTTAATTTTCTTACTCAATTTTACTTCACTTTAAAAATAAAAAATAAAAATAAAAACGAATACATTTAATGATCATTTAATTAACATCATATTTTGAAAAAAAAAAAAAAGAAAAAAAAAATACTCTGAAAAGGCCACATGTTCGACAAAACACTACGCTTCGACGTCGACTATCACACAATTGACGAACAGCTTCAATATTATCAACATTTTTACTGTCAACTTCCGTCGAACCCAGAAAACAATATATCACATTTTGTGCATCTGGACTTGAGCAATCGAATGCTATCTACAGTTAACATTTTAAAATCAAAAACATATATCACTGATAATCAAATGATATTAAATTCTGAAGATTTCCTAAGCAATAATTGCACAAAATTGAAACAAAAAAAATTGGCGTAAAAACCATTGGAAATATATTTCTCGAATAAACTGATGCTAGAACTTCCAAGATATACTAATTCTCAAACTTTTAGCATATATTAAATAAATATATTAAAAATATAGTTAAAAATTTTAACTCAATTTTCTCGTTTAAAACTTACATTTTCATCATGTGAACTGCACTGAATACTGCCGTACACTTTTCTAGCACGGCAAGTCATAAAGTAAAATGACAAATCTCTGAAACACCTATAACAAATATTTGCTTATTGATTCCTATTTATTCTATCGACTAATTCAACCGCTAGAGATGATTTTCGAATGAAAAAATCGCGTTCAACATCTATTTTTGACTTATAAGATAATGAACAACATTGCATAAACTTGAACAGAATATTGCAAGCCATAAATTCCATTAGGTTAAAAATTTAAATTAAGCAACAAGCATATCGGATTATATAATTAGGTACAGTGAACAGTAACATATATTAAAGGGATATCAGTAACAAAATTATACAAAAATTTTAAGTAAAATGAAATGTTTTAACACATATATTCGAAATTTGTAAATATATTTCAAGTTAGACTTTGTTGATTTTAATGTTTTAAAAAATGGTTCAGATTCTATTTCTAATTGTTTCATTTTGCCTTCCTATCTAATCGAAAAATTAGTAAATTGATTAAATCACAAAACAATTTTCCCTTATAACTTTTCTACGTCGAAAATCTATTAAGTCAGAAACTTTTGCAAATCAAGATCAGAAAAGCATTTAAAAAATCAAATAAAAATTCGATACTATTCCACTCGCAGAAAAAAAAATTCAAATCATAACATTAAAACCAAGTCCAACTTAACAAAGCATTTCTATGCATCACAATTATTAAACATTTCAATTTCTAAAAAAAAAAAAAAAAAAAAAAAGAAAAGTGGGGTATCCAAATACAAATCCAGAACTGCTGGATTTGAAAAATGCATAAAAATTCAAATAGAAACACAAACAAAATCTTCAGATCTTCAGAGAAACAAAATCTTCAGAGAAGCGATAAAATTCAAAACAATTTCGTACTGCCAAATGTGAGTTCCCAGTGATCAGATCGTTTTAACCAAGTAGCATTTCCATAAGCAGAAATTTGCACTATAATTTCGAGAATATCCAATGGTGTAGGTATATCCAGAATTTCTCCAACTTCACAGCAATCACCTAGCTGTCCAAAATTATTCCATCCCCATAAGTATACATCACCATCTTCAGTTAATGCAGCACTATGCCATTTACCGCATGCCACTTGTGTCACCCTTAAAGGTGACAAACATCCCACTTGCTTTGGATGATGCTCACATCTTAAATTAGCATGGCCAAGCACACCTCGGCTTCCTATGCCCATACTATAAACCAAACCACTTACAGTTAAAATTAGCACATGTTCATTACCAGCAGAAAGCTGTAGAATTGGCTCATCGGATCCAAATTGTAATACTTGAAAATCATCAGTTTTGTTATCCGTGAAAATTCGATACAATGATGGTTCACCACTAGCTCTATTTCTTGCCAGGTAACATGAATGACTTGTGGTACAAATGAGGAAATCTTCAACTTTTGTTTTTATTGTCTCTTTCGGTTGCATATCACAATGGGCCATTTCTGGTATTCGAGGATCATTAAAATCCACTCTATCATGCATTAATTCAGTTTCCACATTAACATTTACAAGATATTCAAATTTCGGATTTTCCGGAACCATATCCAAATTGAGAGAATAAACGAAAAATGAATCTATTCGAAGAGTGTAAATACGATGATCTGAAGGTGCTAAAGCAAAAATGTAATTATGAGTATGAGATACATCCTTAATTTTACCATCTATCTGAAATTGTGATACTCTTTGCTGAAGATAATTTCGTAGGATAACGCGCGATTTTGTAGCACTTCGTCGAACCTCAATTGTACCAAAATATGCAGCAAATATTTTACACTCTTCACTCATCGTATGTCTTTCCACTCCTGAAATACACAAGCATTAAAATTTCTAATTACTTTTACGTAACTATTAATTTGATAAATGTTTGTAGGAAAGAATTTTTTCTTTTGCAAACATGAAACATTGAAATACTTTGTATTGCTTAATTGATTTCTGCTTTTTATTAATTTAATAATATGATAAGTAATGTTATTTCTATTTTATTGTTATTTATTTATTCTATCTCTTAATTTGATCAGTATAATTAGTAGTATCACTATAATAATCAATAATATTAGTAATAATAATCTATAAAAAAAAAATTTAAAAAAAATAACAATAATCAATATTAGTGTTATCTTTTTTAATTTGTGATGCTAACTGTAATTTACTTATTCTCATACCATAATATGGCCAGTCATATCCTTATCATTATTTATTTATTCCCTTTCCATAATTTGATCAGTAATATTATTGCTGTCTTAATTTTATTTACTTTCTCTCTCTCTCCATAATACAGTTAGTACTATTATTATCTTTTTCATTTATCCTGATCCTATAGTCTGGTCAGTAATATTTTTTGCACGTATTTACTTATTCTGATCCCATAATTTGATTTCAGAATTTCCATTCCATATTACTTATTTTCATCCAACAATTTAATCACCAATGACTCACTGCTCTCTTATTATTAATTATTTATATACTATTATTATACATGAACATAATCATAATTATAATCATAATCCCAACTATGATTACTTCGTCAGTTGTTTTCTTGACATAAATTATTCTTACTCCTTGCTCATTATTATTAATAATAATTAATATTCCTATTATTATTTATGGTTAACTTAGAAATATTCTCTATCTTGCAGAAATTAATTATTATTAGCTGTGTGAGTTTCAAGAAATCATAATAAACTGAAAGAGTAAACTTCAAAAATAAAAAAACGCTCTAACTCAAACATAAAATAACTTTTCCTCTGAAGCCATCATTTACCGCAAAATTCAATTGCAATTGCTTCTTGCTTATTGGCTGTTTTGGTAAAAAGGTGTTTTAAATTTTAATAAATTTAAAATCTCTGTTTTAATTTCGTAAATGATTGTAATCTTAAGTTTGATTATGATTATGATTATAATTATAATTGTGTTTATGATTGAATTTTTCTTTTAAAATAAAATTATGCTATCACAGATTGTATTGATTGATTGCGATATAATATGTTTCGTCAATGCTTATTGCAAATGTTCGATCTGTTCGACTTGTTATGAATTCTGTTATGATTACAAAGTCAAAAATGCATCATAAATGCCGAAATATAGGTTTATTTCGTTCAAATTCTTGCTCTTTATTAATTTATTTAATTTTTTTTTTCAACTTGAGTTTTTTGATGATTTTTTGTTATTGCTATCGTAATATTTTATTATTATTTTTAACCAAATATAATTTTTTTATTTTTTAAATTTAGCAACATATTTGTCAGGCGTTGCTTTTTTCACATCGTCTACAAAAAATGAGTGAATTTAAAACGTAAAATTAAAATTTTCATAGCCATATTGTAGAAGTTGCAGTTGTTTTCCATAATATTTACACATATTTATGCACTTATGTTTTACTTGCGCATGATTTTTCAAACTATCAATTTATTAACTAGTAAATAAATAAGTTGATTAATTAAATATTTTTTTATTAAGTAGTAAATTTCTTTTATTATTTTTACTATTATTATTGCCTTATTATATTTTTTTAAACTACTTTTTTCATTACATTTTTTTTTTTTATTAACTGATGAAAAAATTTTTCAATAACTAGTAACTAAATAAATAAATAAATAAATATATATATATATATATATATATATATATGTAAGTTGATTAATCAAATTCATGAACTAGTAAATAAATAAATTGATTAATTAAATAGAATAAATACGTAATATATATTTCGTGCAACTTAAGGAAATTATGCAAAATATTATGGCTGCTTGATAATTTTTTGTTTTGTATTTCCAGAAAAACCATATCTGCGTAGTGATGTCTATCGTGTAAAGGTACCGGATGATAAAGTTAAATGGGAAGTTGTTTGGCCTGAATACGCTCCGAAAGATTTCACAAGCTCAGGAGCTATTGGTAAACCCTGGGCAGATTCAGTTAATGTCGAAAGTCAGAAATTCAAATGGAACGATGTTGATGGATTAATCGATCGACGTTCCTATATGGGGTAACTTATTTATTCAATTACATTTATTATTATGTTACCTATATATACCATTTTTGCATTTATTGTGGTCATCATCTCAAGAGAAACAAAATTTCTTTGTAATTTAATTAAATTCAGGAAATATAATTTGGATGGAACTGGGCGACCACTTAATCCGGTGGGACGAACAGGATTACGAGGACGTGGAGTTTTGGGCAAGTGGGGACCAAATCACGCAGCAGATCCAATTGTAAGTCGAATCCACCACGGGCAATTACAGTTTGTTGGGATCGCCCGGCGAGATTCCGGTGAATGGGCTCTTCCTGGGGGTATGGTAGATGCTGGTGAAGATGTACAAGAAACGTTGAAAAGGTAGGAAGTCTTCATTTTGTGGCATGATTTTTCAAAAGGAAAAAATTTTCAAAACTTTAGAGAATTTACGGAAGAGGCACTGGATGGTAAAAAGTATCCGGAATTGGATATGCTTTGGCGTAAAGGTGTGGAGCTGTATCGTGGTTATGTGGATGATCCACGGAATACAGATAATGCATGGATGGAAACAGTTGTGGTTAATTTTCATGATAACGACGGCTACCTAAACAATGTCACGCTTAGAGTATGTAAATGGTTTCAAATTCTTATTGGGGCCAACTTTTGTTTATTGTAATTCAAACTCAGTTTTAATTAAATTGGAAATTGTTTTATTTTGGAGTGAATGATGTAAAATTCCAGGCAGGAGATGATGCAATTAAATTGCGATGGATTACCGTTTCACTGGGTCAAAAGCTGTATGCATCTCATGAAGACTTCATCAAATTACTTGCTCAACATCATGGCATATAAATCAGATCTTCTATCATTTTAATAATTTCTATAAATTGTACAGCAATAAACATATCCATAAATTTGTAAAGCATAAAGGAAGGTTTAATTATTCCTAATTTATACAATGAAGATTACATTCTGCTATCAGTAGCTCATGAGTTTCATGTCATTTATCAAATTTAATAATTGTTATATTGTATAACTCAAGTAATCATATAAAAAGCTGTGCGTCGAAAAGTAAGACTGAATTTTGAGGTTAACATTGATGTTTCTGAAAAAGAAAAAAATATTCTGTCCAATTGCATTGATTCAACAAAATGATTTATGAATTTAATAGCATTTGTACAGTGTTTGGTAGGAAATAGAAATACCGTTTCTTTTCATTCAGCGAACTGGATACACTGATAGTAATGGGCTTAATGAACCAATAATTTTCATTGTCACCAATCAGAGTGACATGAGCATGTTGTCCGTAGCATACTGATATGTGGTAGTTGTGCATAGGTAGTTGCATAGTTTCTGCATAAATTGTTTCTAGTATTTCCAGTCATTTAAAAAAGACAAATGACATGAGATGATACAATTAATAATTTTTGATTAAAATTAAAAGATAAGTCAGATAAAATTTAATTTCTTAAAACATCACTTGAAGGGTTCAAGTAAGTAATCGTCAAGCATTGGTAACGATGAGCAGAAGACCTGGACCACCGTCAATTGATGGCTTATACTCTCTCAAGGTATCTCTTAACTTATTTTTTATTTATTTAGTAGGAATAGAGGGAGAAAGAATAAGTAATCAATGGTTGGCATTTTCTATGTGATTAAATGCTTAGCTGAAACATTTGCTCAAGCAAGGCTGTATTAAGACATCAAACTATATGCAGTGATAAGAGCCATGTTTATCATGGATAAACTTATAAAATAATTAAATACTTTCCTTTTTTTTTTCTCTTCATTCGATCTGTAATATTTCATTACAATGATATTTTCTAATTCGCTCATTTCCATCGTGATATATCAATTATAAGAGAAAATTTTGCTTTAATAATTTTATATTTATTTCTAGTGGATTAGTAAGCTTGTCGACTTTTTGATTTTTGTCATACTCTACTTATTTTTCTTGTTTAACTAGTTTGAAATACATTCCTGATCTTTTAGATTGATAATATATCATATCAAACGGCACCACAAGATTTACGTCGTTTGTTCGAGAAATACGGTGAAATAGGTGATATTCACATTCCTCGTGATCGTTACACCAAGCAAAGCAAAGGATTTGGTTTCGTACGCTTTTATAGTCGACGAGATGCAGAATATGCAATGGATCGTATGGATGGACGATGGGTCGATGGCCGTGAGATCCGTGTTGCCATGGCACGTTATGAGCGCCCAATCGATGAACGTAGCCGTAATGGTGGTAGTAGCGGTTACAGAAGTAGTCGACGGTTAGTGAATTCACACGTTCATATTCACATGGATACTTGACTTTGGCAATCACATTTAAAGAGAAATACCATAATTAAGTTACACAAGTAAGTAAATGAAAATTTGCTTGCGTTTGATTTCTTTAATCAAAAGTTGAAGGTGACACTTGTGATTTTTATTAAAAATCATCAAGGTGGATAATCGCTGTTAATGCATCATCCCACATGAAGTTAGCTCAAAAATTTTGCAAAGTAACTTGCCGAAAAATAATAAATTTGTAATTTTGAGGCGGCCGTGGTTTGCTGCTGCTGCTGTTGCTGCTGCTGCTAATCACCGAGATACAGTGTAGCTGCTGTTAGCTGAAATAAAAAATGCATCAAGCAAAACGGCCACATCTCAGGGGAAAATTGGCTTGCTGAGCTGCTGTTCCATAGAGCAGTTGACTGCTGCTCTTGTCGTTGTCGTTGTTGTTTTTGTTGTCGTCGTTGTTGTTGTTGTTGGGCAGCGTAGCTGTGTTTCTGGCTTGGCCTGAACCAAAAAAAAGGGAGGATAAGAGAGAGATTCCGGTACAGAACAAAGATTAATTACATGCTGATTGCTGATTGTGTTACATTTGATGGTCAGTCAGTTTTTCGTACAAAATCGTTTTTGTGCCTTTTTTGGATATGATATCCAATACCTGTGTGATAGCATCCATGAATCAGCGGCATGCCATTTACTTATCTATTCGGGGGGTGGAGTTTTGTTTTTTCAAGTCTTAATGAAATGATTAGAAATTATCTAATTATCTGAATGTTACAGTGGGCCTTGATAGCATATAGATAGATAAATGGGAAAGTCAATAAGAACTTGAAATGAGATACCTTTTATCAGTCGGATCGTCCATCGCCTTGGAGAGTCAAGTTTGAGAAAGAATAAAGTCTTTTCCTCGATTATGCCAAATAAAATGAAGTATATAAGGATAGTATGAAATACTCCTTATATCATGAATGATCATAAAAATACAGATTACTGGTACTGATTACATTTATAAACTACTTTTGACTATTTTGTAGTATTAATAGGTTGCGCAAGTTTATTTCACAGAAAGTTATTCTGTGTGCATTGAACAGTGAAACTAGCTCACGTTTCGATTATTCCGGTCCACTGCATTACCGATAAGTATCGTTTTTCAGTTCGCGGTCACGTTCGCGTTCACGCTCACCACGACGTCGACGTTCCTCAACACGAAGTCGTAGTGGTTCGCGATACAATGGAAGACGTTCGGCTTCACGCGGTCGAAGTGTTTCACGTGACAGATCACCAGTGTCTCGAAGATCTGCAAATTCAAGCAGCCCACCAGCAAGAAATTCTCGAAGCCCACCGCCTCGTGATTCTCGCAGTCCTGTAGCGCGTGAGCGTGATCGAGATAAACCTGATGATGCATCAAATGGAAATGATACTAATTATTGATTCGCTTATGTTTTGGCTTTTAGCAAAACTTCATCTTAGTGGGAATTTTGCTTTGCCAAATTTACTTTAATTTGATATGTTTTATTTGCTTTTCCTTTGAAGCAAAAATATGGTCGCGCATGTTACATAAATTGTAATCAAAAGTGCAACTGCTAAATTATTTCGTATATACTATAAATTTTCAGTCATGTGAGATAGCATCAAAAATGTAGCGAATGTGTTTTTTTTTTTTTTTTTGTCCAAATCCATTTAAATACCCCATTGATTTGTTGTTTCAAATTTTCAAGTTTTATTTCTTGGTTCTTTGTTTTTTCTGTGGTTAATCAATAGTGAATGTTTGAAAAGTATAAAAATGTCAATTTTAAAATCCCGTTGCATCAGAGTTCAACATAAGTGGAAATCTGCATAATAAAAAGTTCATAGTTTAGCATCACTTTCAGAGTTGCACTATAATCTTATATTTTGTTGAATTGTTTGACAGTACAAATTCTAAATCCATTTATTACATTTATTCATAAATAATGTGCTGTATCACTCATTGTAATTTCATTGAGAATTTATTGAAAAAAAAAAAAAAAGTGATTAATATTTTTAGTCTAAATTAGGTAAAAGTGATGAATATCAAATAGCAGAATATCAAAAATTTATCATTCTATTAGAATTTCCAAAACAAAATTCTCATCTATTTACAATACTGACAAATTTCATTTATTTCATTGTAGCATAATTTTCATATATTAAGTTTTAATGTTACAATGTTTCCTACTAAATATTTTATTTATTCATTTGAAGGATGTTTTTGTAAACAATAAACAATTGTTAATTATTGCATAATATTTATTTCAATATGTTATGTGCTTGATTTATAATTGTTCTCTTATACAATGAAAAAAAAAAAAAATTGGGCTTATAATTGTTCTCTTATAAATTACAATTGAATTTGTTTTTCCAATACAATTGATTTACATTAATATCATTTAGAAATTATATGATATTATTAAAGAATGTCCGTAAAAAAAAAAGTCACAGATGATAGTGTAAGATATTATAAGTTTATATTTGTAATAATTTTAATATATATCATTGGAAAATATGTAAATTTTTAAATTCGCTAATATATAAAATCTGGTTGAAAATATTAACATATAACTAAATGAATTAATCAAATGAAAATATGTTAAAATGTAATTCGAGGGGTGCTGATTATTTGAGCATTATTAAAAGCAATGGTTAGTTTTATTTTTGTTTTTGTTTTTTCATTTATTTGTTTTATTCTATTTTTATGTTGTTTTTTTTTTTTTTTTTTTTTTTTTTTTTTTTTTTTTTTTTTTTTTTTTTTTTTTTGTTTTTTGTTCAAACTATTAATGTTTATTTCAGTTTCGAAGGAAAATGAGAGAAAAAAACATTTTTTTATTATTATTAAGAAAGGCATATGTCGTAAATGGCATACATTTAAAAATATAAAATTACCATCAAAAATTTTTGTAATATAATTATCAAATGAGAATATTTTAATAAAATAAAATGCATAATAAATAGACTATAATTTTGAAATGGAAATGCAAAAGGAAAAGGAAAATTGGTAGAACAAAAAAGAAAAGAAAAAGTTTTTTTTTTTTTTTTTTTAAGTATAACTTATTAAATGAATAGGTCAAGAAATTGTGGATCATTATCGGGTTCCGAATCGATCATTCTATATGATACCTAAAATATGCTAATGATAAAATATAGGAATTATTAAGTTTAAGAGTTTAAAAACTTATAATCCTTATTTAATCATATGGTTTATTATCAATTAATTAATTTTTTTCATTTCATATTTACACTATTTAATCAAAAATATTAACAGTATTATTTGTAACTGATGTTTGAAAAAAAAATAATTTAGAAAAAATATTTATGATAATTTATTTATCATAGCTTTTTTTTTTTCATTGATCTCGTTATCATTTTTTTCGTTTTCTTTTAATTCAAAATGATCTAAATACATTAATTAATAAGTTTGATATTTAAGTTTTTCCTTCTTTTCTTTTTTTTTTTCATAATCATTAAACTATTGCATTTAAGATGGAAAATACATCGCTTATTTTTACTTTTATAATGATTCAAAAAAAAAAGTAGTAAATAAATAAATTAATTAATTATAATTAATTAATCAATAATTTTGTTTTTAACCAATTCAGCTGGTTCAATTGCTTCACATGGTCGACAAATATTACGCGCAAATAATCTATCAATGGTACATTGACAATTGAAACAATAACTTTCTCGTTTGTAAGCTATTCGAGATGCTGCTATCATAAAACCATATTTCTAAATTATTTCAATTTTTTTTTTTTTTTTTTAAAATTTTTTTTTGTTATATTTTAATACTATGATAATTTTTAAAAAATTTTACGCCAAAACTCTATATATTATGTGGTAAATATTAAGAGAGATAAATATAAAGAAAAAAGAAAAGTAAGAAGAAATAATTTTAGTTAAAAAGATGATCATTTAACTTTTAAAATTTAATAATTTTATAAAAAAAAAACAGAGAGGAAGAAAATTAATAATTATTCAAAGTAATAATAGAAAATTGAGGAGAAGTAATGAAGAATTTAGAAGAAAAAAAAAAATCTGAAAATGATGAAGCTTAAATAATTTATGTCTAAGATGATAAATAAAGTATTATTGCAAAGGAAAATTGTATATGAAATTTAAAAAAAAAAAAAAAAAAAATGAACTTAATATAAAATTTGAAAAATTAAACAAAAGAAAAAAAAAATTAAACAAATACTGAAGAGAATATAATTTGTTTTAAATAAAAAAATAGAAAAAAATTAAACATATGCTAAAATTTAATAAGAGAGTTTTTAATATAAAATGAATTACATACTAAAAGAGAATTTAAAATAAAATTAAAAGTGTACTAAAATTTAAATAAATATAAAATTAGACATACACTAAAAAAAAAAATTTAATATAAAAATTAAAAATAACCTAAAAGTGAATTAATGTGAATTTAGATTAAATGTTTTAATTTCAAAAACAATGAATTGGTATTGAAAAATTTCAAATATTTCATTACGATTCAAAAAAAAAAAAAAAATTAATCAAATAATTTTCAGTAATAAAATTATAATTACTTACAAGAGAGAAAACAGTTCCAAATGTTTGTTGAGCTATTACTGAGCAGCTATCATGCGGATGTAGTAGTGACGAACGTTGTCCAATTTGCGCCCCATATTCATTCAATAATTCTTTTGCATTCATTCCTTTCATAATAATTAATGGTTTATTTTTGTAGAGCAAATTAATAATAATGATAATTAATGATAATAATTAGCAATAATGATATTAATAATAATAATTAATAACAATAATAATGATAAACAGCAATAATTAGTAATAATAATATTAATAGTAATAATTAATAATAATGAGAAAAGTAATAATAATAACCATCAACAATAATAATGGTAATTATAAATAATAATAATAATAAATAATAGTAATAATAATAATAAATAAATGATAAAAACAATAATAATTATAGTAAATATAATAATAATGACAATTAGTAATATTAGTAACATTCTGAATATTATTATTCTTAAATTGTATTTATCCTAGGCATAATTTAAATTTAAACAAAATGAAATTTTAATTTTGTTCGTTTAAATTTTAACATTTTCAGTTTATTTAAGAGAAGATGAATTTTTCAAAATAATTTTTTTATGAAAATATGAAATATGATTGTAAATAATGCATTTTTTTTTTTTTTTTTAAATTATACATTTTAGGATTTAAAAAAAAAAAATAATAGAATTGTCGATTTCCAAATATTTTGAATTTCTTCAATATGTAATGTTATTTCTTGAATTTAATTCATATTCTGTTTTTAAGTTTTAAAAAAATGATGAATGAATAAAGAAAAGTTTTTTTTTTTTTGAAATTAATTACTGTTTATAATTTTAAGATTAATTATTATTTGTTTTGATTGATTAAATTTTTTAAATTTAACTTACCAACAATTTTACTTCCATCATTTGTCTTAAATTTGCTTAATGTTAATAAATGCATTGTGATATTCTGAAATAAATAATTTAATGTAATTATTTTATTTTATGATTTAAACAAAAAAAAGAAAAAAATGCAATAAAATAAAATAAAACGAAGTGACAATTCTAATATTTGTAATAGAATGTAATTGAATACATATTTGTAATGGAATACTAATAATGAATAACTGATTATTTCTGATTAACATTTAAACTAATTCAAATTATTTCACTGCCTCTATTATTTTTTCTCTGCAATACTAAATAAAATAAACAAAAAAGTAACTAAATTTTTTATATTGTTGAGTATAAGAAGAATTAATCAATTAATTAATTAAAATTGAGAATAAAAATAAAAAAGGTTAAATTTACTTGTTCGAGTAACATATTAAGCATTTCTTTATGTCCATTTTGTGAACATTTTTTACATATAACCAAAACAATACTTTTAGCACTTGCAAATCTAAATAGGAAATTAATTTTTTAATATTAATTTATCAAATTTCATTAATAATTTCTTTTTTCATTTGAATTAAAAAAGAAAAAACCAGAAAAATAATAAATGTAATTACAATTTATACTATTAATTTGAATTAAAAACAAAAACAATGAATGCATTATTTTTGAGATAAAAAATTTACATCTAATTATTATCTTATTTCATTTCCAATTTATTTTTCTATGAACTTAAAAAAAAAAAAAAAGAAAGCAGTAAATATTAATTTTTTTTTTTTATTTAAATAATTTGTACAAATTACAATTATGTAATTTATTTTTTATTTAAATTAAATGAAAACAATGAACTTATTGAATATATTTTATTTTAATTTATTTAAATCGAGAAAATAATTTGTACAAATTTTTGAAATAATTAATTTATATTTAATTATTAAAAAAGAAAAATAAATAAATAAACAAAAAGAAAACAATAATGCATTTTACCTAAATGGAAAATGT